TATTCACTGAACATTTTGCTTGTATTCAGTAGTTTCATTTTTTTGTAAGTATCTTTCGTTTTCGTCACACATGAGCTACTTTCATATTGATCATATCTTTCCTCTTTCTTTTTTCTTTTTCTTTCTCTTTACCTATGATTTATGTATAGCTGTCATATATTTTGATGGCCATAATCGTATCTATACGAAAGCTACTATTTCAAATCGTAGACACGTCATCGACAAAATATAACCAACCGAACAACAGATCAGTAATACTTGTTTTGCACAACATGCGAGCATAGCTGTCACTGAAGCGTATTTTATTTTTTTTATCAAAGTAAAACGCAAGTCGTTATATGTTATCATATCATCAATCAAAACTAATCATTCATTTTTGATGTCTATATTTTTGTAATGACAACCCGTTGGCTTGATCGAAAAACAAAAATCGATATTTTTTCACTACTCTCATCTGTATTTGTGATGGGTATATAAAGACTGAAAATATTCTTGCAAAATTAAAAGGTAATTATCGTTTCAAAATACCGACTATCAAGCAATACTTATCCTTTCATTCAATACAAGCAACTACGATGGTTGATAACAAGACTCTAGTGTGTATCTTGGCTGTAATGGTTCTTTGCTCAACAATGTGCACGGCCCGGTCCATGAATTACTTTGATAAAGATGCATCTGTTGATAGTGGTGAGCTTCTTCTCAAGAGATTTCTTCAAAAATATTATGCTAAGCGTTGTGTTTCTCTTCATGCTGCTGGTTGTACTAAAGACAGTGACTGTTGTAATGGTAATACTTGTCTTACTTATCGTAATTATATTCTTGCTACTAGTAATCCTCGTGATTCTCGTCTTCGTGGTGATCTTCCTGCTGGTAATTATTGTTTCGAACTTTAATGGTAAGTATTTTTTTTAGGACTATTTTATAATTTTTTCAGAACCTTTGTTTTTCTCATAGAAACGGCGAATAGCAGACGCTGGTATACAAAATACAAAGCATTGACTTTCTATAATCATTTAGCTAGTTGCGTAATTTTTATTCACCTTTTTCTCTTTTTGCCTTTTTCATATTATTTTATTTTGGTTTCATCATTAATATTATTTAACCATGTAGTTTGTGCCATATATTTTATCGATCTTTTTTTTTGTTTTCTTTTTTCAATTTTCAATAAAAAACATCAGTTAAAAATAAAATTATTTGTTTCTTTTTTTGTCTTAATAACACAAAGTTTCATCGAAGAAAAACACAAGAAAGAAGTCTGATAATACACTGTAAAGTAGAAAATGAGTTATTAGAGTTCAATGAAAAATATTCTAGAGATATTCGTATGCATTCCCCGATGAATCGTTAGTTCCTTGAAAATAATATATTGGAAACATTACGAATAATAAATTTGTTTTCTTAATTAGAAAATCAAAAATTAATTTATTTGAATATTTCAAGAGATTTGGAGTTCATTTCGCAATTTCGGTGTTTTTTATAAACTTAGAATCAAATTTAATTTTCATGTCATAATATAGTATCTTCTATTTATTTCATATGATATTGACAATATATTTTCACTATGAAATAAAATAAATAATTTTAATTCATATTTATAAACATTCAAATCGTATAAATGCGCCGAATAAAATAAGTTTGAAATCGCTGTAGCTTTTTGATATCAGACGAAAAGAAACAAGGACTAAAATGATCATATTTATTCAACCATGACAGTTGCACATACTCATGGTAAAGAAGAGTGAAACAAAATCGTACACGTTGTGTAGAAAGAAAAAGAACAGAACAGAAGAGAAGAACAATGATAGTGAAAGTGATGGTGACTAAGAAGAAATGATTTGTGTATCTAAATTTATGAAAGTATTTTATGCAGAAAAAATAAAATAAAATAGATATGTATGAGAAACAAGAAGTGATTTTTAGTTTAAAATATTTATCTTTTACCTATCTACTATTTCACATAATAGCAGTTCTATTGATCGATTTAAAAAAATAATAATAACACGATAATAATAAGGGATTTTTTTATCAAATTCTGCCTTTTTTGCGAACTATAGTAATATTTTTCTCTTGAGCTAAGGAAATACGATGCGAAGCTCGATTTCGAAATAATGACTTTGAGGTTTATATAAAATTCTCAACATTCACGATTATAGCAGAATAAAATCAAATTTATATTATCAAAATCGAGAATTCAAACTATGATATGTTGAAAGAACACTGATGATGCATTATCTTTCGTCAGCTTTACTTTCAAAGTGAGAAACTTTAGACAATTTTATTTTTAACAAAAATTTAATTAATATTTCTTTTATTTGTTAGAAAATAATGAAAATAAATGCTAGATTAAATTCTCATTTAGTTTGGATGCATTCGTTTCTTTTTTTCGGCATATAAAAATATGTGATATAATTTATTTCCAGTTTTATAGTCAACGCTGACTTTGTTATCTGTTGTTTATGATCATAAGATATCAACCTTCATAACAGTAAACAACATATTATGAAAACTATCTCATTGTCCTTCGTCGCATTATATAAAGAATATGAATGGAGTATGTTTATTATTATGATTTAAAATAGAATATACTTTCTCTCTTATGATATGTTTTTTTCGAAGAAATTAATCAATCTACCTTGTAATAAAAAATATAAACAAAACAACAGAATAGTTTGTTCATGGTCCAAATCACAAATCAATATAATCAAAGTATGAATTTATTCTCCTATATTTATTCGATAAAAAAAGAAACTTAATCAATATATACTATTATGTTATATGAAATCTCTCAAATTTTTCAACAGTTATATTACTGATTAAATCAACAAAAAAAAAGAAAATCACCGATATAAAAATTACAAAAGAAAAAGAAGAAAAAAGAATTTTTTATTATGCAACACGAATTATATCAAGAAGATATGGTGAATCAATAGATGTAAATAAATTTGAATAATTATTATCACTGGTTGTTAATATTTGTTGTAAACGATTAAGAATATTTGAATCTGTGATATATGAAATTATTTCTTGAAAATTTTTACTTGATATTGTATTAAAACTTTTTTTTAATAAATGTTTTCCTATTGTTAATATTAGTTGATCATCAATTAATATTAGTTGTTGAAATTCTTCCCAATATTTCATTGCATTTGAAGTTTTATTACAAATAAATTGTTCAGTCAAACAATGTGACCATAATGTATGTTCATTATAAGCATCAGCTATAATAAATGCATGCCAACAATGTTCAAAACGTGGTAATAATTCATAGATTTGTTTTGAATTTAAATTTAATATAATAGTTATGGGTTGTTTTTGCATTAATTCAAGTTGTAATGATATAAGACGTGCTTGTTTTAAGCATTGTTCACTTTGACGACAACATCCAACTAAATAAAATGTATCAGCTGCATCCGAATAATATTGAAGTAAACTTTGTAATGTAACTGATAGATCAGCTGATGATGTTTGTTGATTATATTGGAATGTTTTTAGTAATTTTTCTCCTGCATCACGATACATTATTGCTAGTTCATGATGCATATTCAAATTCATGGATATTGATGTAAATGTATGTTCATCATTTGGATGATGTCGTTTTATATAATCAAATAATGCTGTATTTAAACATTCATCATGCATATGACTTATTGTTGATAATAATAAATCAAAATGATCAGATTGAAATAATATGTCAAATATATAAATCATTTCTGAATACTGTTGTAAACCCATTAGTAAACGTATTAGTAATGTATAACCATTTAAATCATTGAGTAAGATTGCTATATGACGAGCATGATCAAGCACTAAACATATTCCTTCCATATGACATGAATTAATAAAACATGTATGAGCATAAATTAGTAGTTCAATACGAAGACGAAGTAATGATGATGAAACATCTATTAAGAAAAAATAAATAATTAGAAACCTACACCAATATAACTTTATGAGAAACTTAAGTATCTCATGAAAAACAATTTCAATAGTTATGAAATTTGATGAATATAAACATAAAAAAAGTTTTTGTTTTGTTTTTTTGAAAATATAATTTAAACTAACCTTGTGAATCTAATTCAAGAAATTGATCTTCATACAATTGTGATTTTTCAACAAGTTGTTTTCCAATAGCATCATAGTTTTTTTCATATAAAAGTGAAATAAATTGTCGATATGATTCAATATTATTTGGATCAAATGGCCAATGATGATAATCATCAGTTGGATCATTTTTTTGACAACGTTCGAAAGTTTTATCAGTTTGATCAACAATTAATTCTGCTAGTTGTTGATTTGATATTCTTAATTGTTTAGCTAAATATTCTGCTAATTTAATTTTTGTTGGAAATGATGATGATGGATATGAAAGAATACGTTTTAAAAGATTCCATTCATCAATATGAGCATTTGTATTTAATAAAGAAGATGAATCAACACGGAAAAGTCGACTAATTTTAAATAATGTATTATTTATACAATAAAAACTAAACAGAAATGTCAGTTATTTACGAATATTCAGGTGGAAGAAAAACTCTAAGAATGATTTCATATGATGAAACTTGTTTTATTTTCATTAATTTTTTTCATTGTCCAATATTAATAGATCGAATATGATCATACTTCTTCTAGAATCTTTTGTTTTTGTTATTATCAATTAATAATGCACTGATATTAGTTTATTAATCAATATAAGTGCTTTCATAAAAAAATATATTCTTTATGCATTGATTGAGTGACAGATAACATATGAAAAACAAAGGGAAAGTACATATAGAGTAGTAAATTATGATATTAAACTTTAGAAATAAATGCTACACTAATATCACTTAGATTGAATAGTTTCATTTTTTTCCTCCTACTATTATTATTGAATCAGTATTGAAATAATGAAAATAGACATACGAAACCGGAAGAACAGTTAATATATATGATTCTTATCAAGGACATACAAGTGTATTTCAAAAAAAAATAGTAATCATTAGAAAAGGTTGACGCTTCTCATTCTGTTACAATAATGTTTATCAAGATTGTTATTCTATTTTCTTATATATGTAATGTATTAACATATACAAAAGTAGCTACTGATTATGATCTTTATGGAATTAAAATTGCTATAAATGATCAATTTCTAGTTAGTATTGATAATCTATTTTTGGTTTGGTATGTCGAATATTTCCCACACACCAATACTTCAAGCTGCCAACTCAGTTATACTTTAACAACATGTGATTTTGTCTATAGTGTTATTGTACCAGTTTCAAATAATATCTCGTTTGTTTATAATTGTATCGATTTTCAAGGAAATAATGTCGTCGGTAATTTTATTGGTATAAATAGATCGTGTGACTTTCAATTAAATAATGAACAGATTGTATTTAACTATACGACACAAGATAATTTTGTGGTTGCTTTTAATGGAGATGGTACTGGTGTATATGGTATTGCTGATGATTTTGTATTGTTTTATAAATTATATCCAACGATTGAATTGTTTGTGTGGCCAAATACACTCGATATTTCTCCTCGAGCAATGGATATTGGTGCAAACCAAAACTATGCCGTTGTAGTTGGATATTGTCAATCGTCGCCAACAATTGCAGTTGAATGTGGTTTTGTTATTCGATTAAATTCATCATTGTCATATCCGATAAGTATAAATGAATTTGATATTAGCAATGTTGTACAGTATCCATGGAGTGATCCACGTTCCATTCGTTTGATCACACAAAGTCGAACTTATACTGCACAATTAGTTATGTCAGTAAGTATTTGTTGGCAAACACAACATGTACTAATTGGTATTCAATCTCTCAATACAGTTTTTTTGTATTCATTGAACGATACACATAATCCAATTAGTACTCGTCAAAATGGAGTTGGGTTGATGGGCTATGGAAAAAGTGTAGCGTGGTTAGATAAGAATGGTAATAAAGCAGTCATTTTAGCTAACATTTATTCTTATTCAAATTATCAATGGATTTCATCATCAGTACATGTATATGATATTCAATCAGATGGATTTTCCGATTCGACGCAACCAATTCTGGTACATCCTAATAGTCAACAACCCCTTCAACAAGAAATGGATCCATCTTTTATTCGTATCTTTTGTTCACCTATTGGTCATTTAGGTCTTCTAGATCGTTTAGGCAATGGAATCGGTATTCTTATAGCATCTCCAAATAATTATTCGAATACAAACACGAGCCTATATGTCACAAGTGCAGCACCTTGTTATCGTGGTACGAGCCGAAATTATAGTGGAATTGAATTATGTTATCCTGATTCATCATTAAATAATTGTTCGAAAGATTTTTTCTGTCCATATGGAGCTGTTGGTGAAGTTTCCTATTTAACATTTCGATCAATTGAACAAAATCCAGAATATCCTGATTCGCCTGAGAATACTGTCTTTGATGATTTACTTATACAAAACATGTTTATTTTCAGCCCAAAATCGATTCATTGTTTACTTGTATCACCAATTACTTGGGTAATATTTGTCGCAATACTTGGCTCTACTGTTGCTATTAGCATGGCACTTTCAGAATGTTATTGTCCTCATCATCATTTTATTCGAGATCGAGCCAAGAAAGTCTTTAGAAAAATGGATCTCATTGGTCAAGGAGAGGTAATTGATTCATTTAATGTAGATTCATATCATTCATAGATAGAATGAACTTTTGAAAATTTGACAAAAAAAAACGATGTTATCTTTATTTTTTAATTCTTAAGATCATATTTCCTTATTTAGATGTGGATCGGTGGACTAATGTCAGCTGCAATAATTGTTCTTATTGTATCAGCATATTTTTTTTCTAATGGTTATCTTCATCAATATCCAATTGAATATGTTACTAATAATAGTACATTTGCATGTGATATCACTTTGCGTAATGCAAAATTTACTACAACAACTCAAAAGAGATGGGATCCTCGTCGTTCTACAAAAGACAGTCAACATATGTTTGATTTACTTAATTCTCAACAATTTACACTTAATATTGATCTTATTCAAACAGCTTTTACTTGTGAAGATAATATTTATGTACAACGTGTCAATGGTAATACAGTTACTATAATACCAATTACAAAATGTCAACCAAATTATAATGAAACTACTATAAGTTTAGCCATTTTACTTCCAGTTCATGAGATTACTGCTCAACTTGTATTACCAGGACTGAAAACGGTTGGAGCCATTCGAATTGGTCTTAGTGGCCCTTCAGCAGAAATGGAAGATGGAAGGTATAAATTACATTTTAAAAAATTTCTAATAATTCATAGTGAATAATCTAACAAACAGAGTTAATATTTAGATATGAGTTATTTTTTTATGAATCTATTGAAAAATCGTTTTTTTTCTGTAATTAAAAGGTTTGCATTGATGGATCTCAATTTTGCATCGACATTTGTTTCATCTTCACTCGATGATGTTCTTATAGAATCAAGTACATTTTCTATTGAATTAATTCAAATTGTTAATCAAACTGATCCATTGGATGATGATGGTTTATCTACATTCAGTGCTATTTGGTCATACACGTTCGGTGATAATTCTGATGAACTTTTTACTAATGAAAGTCGATATACATTCTTCTATCGAACACAAACCAATATTAGTATTACAATTACTGAGAATATATTCTATATTGGAAATTTACAACAACCAATTGCCAGACAAACAGAAATTGCTTTTCGTAGTCTTCTTTTCACGATTGTTGTTTTAGAAGTTTTTGGTTTATTATTTCTTCTCCTGAAATTATTTCTTATTCCAGTATATCGTTTGATACACAATAGAATAAATCAAAAGCTGTCAAAAAATCGTGTAACTCCAACGAATGATTTAACAATGGTCATCGTGAAAAATGACAAATCAGCAATTATAACTAATTGACAAACTAACAATCCTATTTTCTTTATTTTATATTATTCATTAAAGATACACTTCATTTATTACTACACTTGTTTTTTTTTATCATTTTATTTTATGTAATGAAATAGTTGATTACTAGTAACTTTTAATTTGAACTACAATTATAAATCATATTGAAACATTCATCCAAGTAAGAAGTGATGATGATGAAAATTAGAGTTACACGTATTGTAGCCTATGATACTTTAACTTGATCTTGGCAAAATTTTTATATAAATAATATGAAAAAAATATATTACAGAATAAATCAGAAAAACGAATGAGGATATATCAACAGATTATCATCGTAAACGATCGAATTGACCTTATAGAATAGTCGTCCTATTTTGTCATTTAAATAGTTCAGTCTATATAATATTATAGAATAATACAAAAACACATTGCACTGAGAGAAAATAATATATCATAGACGAAAGTATACATAAATTCTCTTTGATATTTTCCCCTTGATTTATATTCTTTAACTTATTTCTGTTTTGCACTAGTAGTACGAATCATTTACAGCGGACTAATACAAAATCACATCTACATTTTCATTGTTTGAATTGACTACTATTTTATAAAGACGAAGAATGTTGATTCTTTGTGTTTTTCTCTATATAAATATTAGAATGATTTGAACATTTCATACAGCATTGTTACCAAATAAGTAAGCATATTATTTCTTATTTGATAAATTAATATTCCTTTTTGTTTCTCTTCTATTTAGTTAAATTATACGAATGTATACTAAATTAGTTCTTCTTTTTCTTGTTGCTGCTGTTACTAGTCAACGTGACGATGCTTTATATAATTTCTTCTATGGAACAACAAAATATACTGATGATGCAACAACATGGGCAAGACTACGTAACGAATATTTAACTAAAGCACCATACAATATATCACCTGGCTACATGATGTTACATTGTCGTATTGTTAAAGAATGTTGTTCAAGTGAAGTTGATGATTTATTTAGTATGATACATGAACAAAGACTTGACAAACCATGTATGGGTACTCAAAGCTCAAAATTATACAATTCACACACAACAAAATGCAATGGTTTAATTAAAACTTTTCATGATGTTCAAAAGACTGCTGAATATTCAAAAGCTGAATTAGTCACTCGTATACCACCACTGAATGATCGTTTCAAAGAATGGCGATCAGAAATGATACGAACATGTTCAACTGGTGAACTTAGAGCTTATGTTTGTGACCCATTTAATATGGACTCTTTTCGATCATGTGCAGAAAAGGTTTTACGTAAGATTGATGGTAAACATGGTGGCGCTGCTTATATTACATTTTTTGAACATATTGAAACTGATTATCATACTCTTATTGAACGAATTACAAAAGCTTTTCCTTATGTAGTTTAATCATTTTTCCTCAATAAATAATAATCTAATATTCTATATTTTACCTTTATTTGATCAAGAAAAAAACTGAGATTTAGATAAAAAGAAGAAGAACAAAGGTTATGTGTCATGCAGACAGAAAACGAAACGATTCGTATTCAAGACAAATAAAAAGAAAAACAAAACTACTTAATATATATATTAACTTATCCTAGAATTTATTGTTGTAAAGTATCTTTTTTTTATTTAAATATGAAATAAGACAAGGATAG